CCTTGCATTTATGAACTACACAGTTTGGTTTTTAGCTGTAAAATTTCTTCACTGTACTGTGTGAAAGGCTGGGAAACTGTGCAATCCTGGTGCTGTAGATCTGTCGAGGGTATTAGAAAATTGTGATGGTTGAGTAGATGGACAAAGCTGATGGGGGGGTTGGAGGCAGGTACATGTTTTTTAGTGACTCACTTTTTTAGAATTTTGAGAGTGGTAATAAAAGCGGCCTTAATTTCCTTTTTCCGTAATATGCCATTGAGCCTAGAAGTATAAGCAGCTACTGTCTTCATAGACCTGGGAACAAGAAAACTGTATTTTAAATCTTGTTAATTTTTCAGAGCACAGTTCTGTTGTTGCAGATCTGTTTGAGCCCTGTGTACAGGGCTTTTAGTTGCAGGAGGCCAAGGACAGGGTGTGGAAAATGTTAAAAGTTTAATGTTTTCAAAATGGTGCTGCTGATAATCTTGTGGTCACCTGTTCAGTATGATTTGATGTGTTCGGTGCCAATGTTGAGTTTGACTTTTTTTTACTGAATAGATGGCAGAGTCCTCCAAATAAACGACATTGCCTCGTCTCTAGCTGAAGTGTTGAAATAACGACTTAGATAAACTGTTTTGTGGCAAACAGAAGGTGATTCAGAGAACACACCTGTGCTGATCTCATAAAAAAGCTAATTAATCTTTTTAAATTAAATGCCCCTTAAAATTCAGCATGATAAAGACTGAAGGATTGGGTTTTTTAATGATTACTTTTAGAGGGCACTGCTCTAACAAAGACGACTTTGTTTTCTTGCATGGAAGTGAGTAAGCAAAGCTGCCTGGGGTGCGGATCATTTGTCTATATGCTAGAGCTGCAGAAAATGAGAAATGCAATGGATGGTTCACAGATGCACTGAGAAATGAGTGCTTGGGACAGTGCAGGAATGGAACTTGCATGTTAATTTTTCAACTTCAGGTTCTATTTTAGATGTGCCAGCGTCTGAACTCCCAGCAAACTAGAAAGTGTGGCGACAGGGGAGTACATCCAGATTGCTGCTGGTTTACCACTTGGCTTTGCAAGTAAAAGCAAGGGCTGTTCAGGCTTACTGTGTTTTTTTTTTTATTCACAGCAGGCAATTGCATAGGAAGATGAGGTCAGGAAGCTGCAATATTGATCAGAGTATCTTCTTGGCAACCTTGTTCATGGCAACTTTGTGGAGCTTAGGGTAAATGGAGTATTAGGGCTATAGAAAAACAACAAAAGGTAGGTCACCGCTGGCCTTTCTTGGCAGCAATAGCTGGATGCCTTTTAAAAACAGCATCTGTTGTCATGGAGCTTCTGAATCCAAGGCCGGTTGCTGGCACTGTGATTTTCTCATGGCAAAAAACATTGTCCTGGCCTAGCCTTGGGGGGGAAATAAATAAATAAAGGCAATAGCCTTGGCGGCACTTGTCTATTATTGTAGCTAAATGACTGAACTGCGGTGGGAATGGGACCAAAGGGAAGCCTTTACTTCACAGAGAATCCTGATTTTCAAAGCTGGCATCCACTATGGTCTGCAAAATATCTTTTATAAGAAGGTGTTTGTCATTTGGAGAAGGATTTTGAATACTTTATACAGAACTTGCTTTCCTCTGAGTCAGCAATGTTTTGAGGTTGAAATAGGGAACTGAATTCCTAATCTCAAGGTTTTTGGAAGGTCTTCCAGTAGTAGTTTGTTTGTGTTTTAAAGCCCATTTTCCTCTTCTAAATGTCAGACATAGTTAAACAGTTTAACACACTTATTTGTAATTTCTTGAAGTGGTCAGTAATGTACAAAACAAGATATTTACTAATGTATTTGGCATTGATTGTGTCAGTTTAATACTTTGCTGAGCTTTTTCCTATCTTAAAAGGTGATACTTTGATTGCGTAGAAATATTCACTCTTGACTTCATGGACAAAACGTACACTTTTTTTTGTTGTTGTTCTTGGATAGTTCCAGTGTCTGAAGTTTAAAAACTTGCTTGGTTTTACTTTTGCTTTGTGAACTTAGAAACAAGTGATGATAAGAAGCAGTTCAGTGTTTCCGAATCAGGAAAGCAGTGAGCCTCTGTGCTTTTATTTCTACATGACTTATTTTTAAAGGCAGGAAAGGATGATTACCCCATGTCAGAAAGCATCTATAGGTAAGCTTTTCTGCTAGAGATGTGTAAACTCTTCGGGCTGAAGAATTTTCCCTTCGGGTCCTTGCTTAAGAGTCAGTTCTGTTTTGATACTGCCTGGCTACTGTTATTTGAAGAGTTTCAGGCAGCTAATGAACAAAATCTATGCATATTAAGTATTGCCTAGTAATTTCTGTTGCTTCACCCGCCTGTTTGTGTTTCGTCCGCCTGTGCTAGTGGCTGTTGGGTCAAGGATTAGGGCTCTTGCAGGCAAGTTAGGATTGGCCTTGCTGGTAGGGCCCCAGGGTAGGATGTTGCAACTGCTGTGACTCTACTGTCAGAAATTACCAGCCTCAAAGCAGAGTTATTTTCTGTCTTTCTGGTGTTTTAGGCTGCCCGCAAAGAGGGATCTGTGTTGAGGCACTAAGCGGAGTGGGGAGCGGTTGAGGCACGCGCGTGTGTGGTTCCGCAAAGCCTGCGTCAGGCCAGTGGCCTCGAGCAGGGGCGTAATGGCACCACAGGGCTCCTGCGGCTTTTCTTCAGCGAAGAAGAGTCAGAGCCCTGTCATTTTGGGGTTTGTTTGCACAAGGGAGGGAGCCCTCGTCCTTGGGAGTAGCCGCAGATCTGCAAGTATAATAATCAGATAATAAAGGGACCCTGGGAGCCAAAACTTGGGAGTTTGGAACAGCCTTTGGAGCCCTTGCAAATTCTTTTCTACAAGCCCTTGGATGGTGGAGTTGTAAACACCAGTCATCTGTGCAGGACTGGTTCATTTTTTTTTTTTTTTTCTGTTTTACTCTTTAAAGCATTGTCAAGCTCCAAGACAGACTTCTTCCAATGTTGCCCCTGCAGGCTTGCATTGTGTTATTTGCTCTTTCTGTGCAACCCCCCTAAAACACTAGAATAGTGTCTGTAGGTTTATGGTGTTGAATATCAGTGCCACAAACATAAAAGCCAGGAAATTCTAAATGTTAAAAGGTTATATTTAACATATATTAATACTACTTTGAGGCTGTTTTTACCTAGAAATTAATGCTAAAAGAAGAAGGCTTTTTTGTTATGATGGTCCAGAGTGTTTATCTGCTAGTGAGTGAAACTTCTCTGTAGACACTTGTCATCTCAATTTAATAACATGTATTTCAAAATCTATTTCTTGGCTTTATCAAGACTGTAATAAAATTTTAATTTTTCCGCTTTGTAGTAATACTAGCAGTTTTTAGTCTGTAAGACCGCATGAAAATTCAGAAATTGTTAACTATGGGGGATATGAAGTCTGCTTTATTTCAGCATTAGGAACATTTGGGACAGATGATTGACAGTGCTAAAACTTGTAATTATAGTGTAGATTCTTTAATTTTTACTCATTAAACTCATTTCTTAACTATTAGAAAATTCATTCTATCTTTGAAATTCTGCACTTCTGGAGATGCTGCGCTATATTCCTTTTTGGAATTCAGAAGACTGAATTGCTGCTTTGATTGCAAAATTTGACTTGAATTACAGAATTGTACTTAGTTCTTCCAAAAGAGTTAAAAGAGTCCCAGAGTGGTGGGGGAGAAGTGTGGATCTGATCGCGATCGCCATAATTTAGGCCTCTTCCTTTAAACTTTGCTTATGAGAGAGATATTTTATTTTCCAGGGAGGAGGAAGGTAGTTTCCACGCAGTTTCCCATTTACCCACTGGGCAGATTTTAGTTTGCTGTGGTGCTATGTTTCTATTTGAATGATTATAGTGATGAGAAGGTGGGAATGATAGCTGAAGCCAGTGAGTCCTTCTGAAAGGTCAAATGAAGACTTCAGTTTAAAGCTTGGCACTTCCCTTCTGAATACAATTGTTTGCTAATCTGGCATGAATACTTTTCATGGCCAGCTTTGTTCTTCAGGAGCAAGACCACTGCCTGTGGTAGGTTGCATCTGTATACCAGTCCCAGCACAAGGCACGCTGCAATGGTGGGAGTGCTGGAGGAGCTCTGGGGGAAATGACTGACAAGATGGGAAGGGCACGGCATGAACACACAGCACTGATGGTACTTGGTTTTCTGCTACGGTAAACGCAGGGAAGAAAAAACAAACCCCCATCATAAACCCCAGTCTTTTGTTAAAGAGGTTTGCTCTCACTGAAGTTTGTATTGAAGTTACTGGCCCAAGGCTGGAGAGCAGAACAACTTCTAGGTGGATAAATGTAAGAATTGAACCCTGACGTAGAGCGATGGTAGCATGCTGAGGGTGGTTATTCTACTGCTCAGTCTGCTTTTGTTTTGGTTGGAAGATCTTTCCTCCATCTGGCTCATCGCATGGTTGCACAAGCGATGTGGGAGTAAAGTGGGGGACCACCCCTGCGGTGGCTGTGTGGCTTTGTGCCAGGTTCACGTGGCAGCAGAGAGGTGGCTTTGGGGTGCTGGAGGCAGCAGAGCGGGCAGGTGGGGATGGGGCATGGTCTTCCCTTTCCACTGGTGTGCAGCTTTAGGGTGGCTGACTTTGTGGTGGTAGGTGAGATGTGTTTTAAAAAAGATTCCTGTAGCTATAAAGCACAGTCTTGACCCAGGGTGGCCCTACAGGTGCAGTCACACAAGCTGGGTTAGTAGGTAGAAATGAAGCATGTGAGATCTGCAGTAGCACTTGAAGGATTAAAAAAAAGATGATGGGAACGTTGGTCAAGGTGCATTTCTGTTTATGTGGATTTTTCCTTCTCTGTCTTGGTGTAGTTCCTTTTATAGCCAAATATGTGTTCCCTCTGAGCCCTTTGGACTTGATTGTTCTTTCTCTGCATGACAAAGAAGGTGGACTTAACTCTGAAGAAATATTTCCATGGCAGCTGCTTAGAAAATTGTTCCTATGTTCTTCTGTTACAACTTTTTTTTTCTATTTTGTTTATAGACACAGATGAGGACACAGTGAAAAGGTGTTTTGCCACGTTTGAAGAGAAGTTCTTCCAAACCTGTGAGAAGGAACTTGCCAAAATCAACATTTTCTATTCAGGTAAGGTGCTTATTTGTGTATATTTGTGGAAAATACAGCAGCATAAAAAGAGTCTGAAGCTCCCAAACTTTCAGAATAACCACAGTGGTCATGCAGGTCTACCATCAGTTAATTATAGGGCAAGTTTATATGGGAAACTGCTCTGGTTTAATCACAGACATGGAGCTAAACCATGGTATTTGAATGGAGAGAGAACGAAGGGCAGGTGACTTCACTGCTTTGCAATAGCATTTGGCTGAACCTTATGAAGATGCCCTTAAACTTAAGTGGCAGCTTACATATAGGGCACAGTTTCTCAATTTATCCATGGTGGCAGTCTTCTGTGCGTGTTTTCGGTGTCCTAAGCCCCCTAGCTGGTGTTCCCTGAGCTTGGGCAGGAGTAGCTATCGTGGACTTGCCTGTGTATGGTAACTTGACTGTCTTGATGTATCCAACACGTTTTTAAGCACTTAACTCTTACTTAAACTCTTGCAACTTTCTGGAGTAGATCAGCCAGTAGCAATTTGTCATTGGCTGTGTACAAAATCCTGTTCAGTAAATTGAGTAAAAATGCAATGGTGGTAAGAGTACGGATTCCTAGGGGTCATGTGTCAGAGTGCTGCTGTTTGTTGTTTTCCCTGAGAAAGTTTGCCTTCCCACCCTGTGTTTTGAAAATAAACTTCAGAACGGGATAATTGGAACTTCACCCTGCAATATTGCTGCAAAAGGCTTAGTAACAGTGTGCTCCAGTTCCACCCACCATTACACTTCAGCTGGTTTTCAGCCTCTTTTGGTAAGGTTTAAAATGGGTTTTCAACTAGAAAAGCGTTTAAATATGGTTACAGTGATACACTGACTTCTGCTGTACTTTCTCTTAACATGTTGATTTATTAACTTGGTGTTATAAACAGGCTTTCGCAGCGCAATATGGTAGCCTTCTCTATTTCTGATTCTGATATAATCTGGTAACAAAGACAACATGGAATTGTGCAAAATATTTTAATAACCATCAGGCAATGACTATTGCTAGGTATTTTATTGCTAGCGGAATCTGGGTTGTGAACATGAAAACAGCTGGAAGCATAATAGATGCAATAACTGTGCACTGCAGCGTGCCTCTGTTCAGCTTCCATCTAGGGAAGTAAAGCCGCTCTTGGACTGGCTGTGCCTGCTCTTCTGGCTCCCCAGAGCAGTGGTGTTTTGCTAAAGCCAGAGTGGGTGTCAGGACAAGGGCAAGGGGCAGGCTGTAGGTAGAAGCGGGATGTTTTGTTAGGCTAACTGGGTTTTGCACTTCATAGGCATTTTTCTACATGCAATTCGTATGAACAATTGTTCTCAGTTTTGCTTCACTGCGAGGCCTTCTGTTTCTCTCCCAGGTCTGAGGTAAGGCCTTTTATGCTCACAAATTTATCTTACTTTTCTAGTTATATCAGATCCTGTGTATTACGAGCTAGACTCTGTGGAGGAAGTTCTGTCAATTCAAATGCACAATACAGATTATAATTTTCCCTAATGAGGACCTGCTAGCACACGTTCACCCACATATATGCACCCATTCCAGCGTTGTTTAAAATGGTATTAATAATATAGGGTAGGGTGTTTTTTTTCAACATGCTGTCATTTCAAAAAGTTATAGGAGAGAATACATGTAATTTGAAAATCTCTTGTGATAAGATTAAAATAAGCCTTTTTCTATTTGCAGAAGACTGACATGACTTTAATAGTATGGAAACCCTTTATTAGGGTTATTAACATTAAGCTACATCAAGAAATGTTCCATCAATGGTCCCTTTTCTTGATCATGTCAGAAATATGTCACATTGGACTCTATTGTAACTCCAGGCATGTCTTGGCTTGGATTGTGACCTGCTACATCCTATTTATTGTAGGCTTATTATATGGCTTATTACACTCTTGGTTTTACGACAATAAATATTGCGTGTTTTCAAGAAAGCTAAGCTTTCTGTTGATCTCCACTTCGTTTCCTCATCACTTTTCCCTGTGCTGAGGGATCCTCATTGACCATTGCCATGGCATGGATAACCCCATCCTCTGGGGGAGGGGCTGCTCCCGGATCCCAGCTCCCTGGAGCGCTGGGGGTTGGAGCACCCGCTGTAAAATGCCTTTGCCTTTCTCTGTGTCCTCAGATTGTCGGCTCTCATCAAACATTGCCTTAATTCCCCAGACTATTATCCCCGCTCCATAGGAAGGAAAACTGCTGTTAACTAGATCTGATTTGATAAACAGTTTGTGATTATTTGGACTATGCTCAAGCAAATCTACACTCAGTTGAAAGAAAAAAGAATAGTAGTAAAATTTTCAGATGGTGCCAGTAGAGGAATGCCTGTTCAAGTGCTGAAGTTGTATTTGTGGCCGGTTTTAGTTTGTGTTTGGGATTTTCTAGAGGGGAGGTTTGTTATATTTTAAATTAGCATCATCAGGATCTGCTTGGACTACTGTTTAGCTAGTAACATTTTTGTGGTTAATTTAGGAGCTGGTTTTATTATTTCTAGGAAGCCACGGCTTTAACTTGTTAAGCAAAATATTGAACCTAATACGTACAAGTAGGAAAAAGGAAGGAGCGCTAGAAGAGCTTCCCCAAAATGCCCAGAGCCCTGAGCCGGGTAGCTGTGAGGAGGTATGGGCTGTGCAATTACCTCCTGTCTGGCGAAACAGGTTGTGATCACAGCCATGACCAGGTAAGCTGGAACTTGGGGGGACATTATGTTACCTCCTTGGTGTGATAGGTTTTTTTCATGATCCTTACGTGTGAACTTTTCTTTAAACGTGGAAAACGGAGTCAAACCAACTTGGAATTGCATAGTTGAAGTGATAACTCTTTAGATGGTGGGTTTTAGTCAGGATCTAGAAACATTTTTGGGGCAAAGCTGCTTATTTATTGCAAGCACTCTTGTTGAAGACTGCTTCTGTTGGTTTTAGATTTCTCCTTGGCCTTTGCCGTGAGATTAAACTTGAGCTGGGGACTCAGTGCGCATCAGTTCATGCAAAATGCTGCAACACAAGAAGAATGGTTCCATCTTCTAAGTGTATGCTGCTTTTTTCTAACTCTTTCGAGCGGCACATTTTTTTAAGTCACTTTTCGGAGTGCTAAATTAGTGATACCAGTGAATGTCTTTTCAATCATTTTGGAGTATGTTGTAAACTGAGAAATTAATTTCTACTCTACTTTGCCAATTCTCTAGGCAATTCCCTGGGAGGTTTTAAGAATAGCAGCACACACTTTGTCATATTTTGGTTCTGCAGTGAATCTTGACGATAAAATCATACCTTAACAAGATGAAATGATTTGTGGACTGGGTAGCCAGAGTCAGTGCAAGAGGGAGGGCAGGAAGGAGAAGGTGGTGGCAGGACTGCCGTTTCTCAGGAGTAGCAAGTCATTATAGGACTGGGTCAGTTGCCTTTAAAGCCTCATCCTCAGAGGACTGTGGTCCTCCCCTATGGATGGAAAGGGCTGTACAGAAGATAGCACATGACACTTTGCAGCAGTGCATAATTAAAAATGTTTGTATTTGGAGATGGTGCTTTTTTATGGATAATGCTTTGCAAACAGGAAAATTGCAGAACATTTTTATAACTATTTCAAACCTTTGTCTTTAAATATTGTGTTATTAGGCTGATGGGTTTTTAAGATTTTTCTGGACATAGGGACAATGGAACAGTGCTTTAAATTGAAAGATGTGAATTTAAACTCTTCCATATTTAATAACTTGATCCAAAAGAAATCTCAGTGTATCACAGATGGTTTAATACGACATTTTGAATATAGAGAGTGAACTTTTGAGTTTTATTTATATGAAGGCTTTTCCTTCTAACAGCTGCTCTAACAGATATCTGTTACTTCTTCCCAAGAGCGTTCCCAAAGTGGGGAGAGATGATTATTTTTGCAGTCTGACCTTGTGTGTGTTAAATATTATGTGGTTGTAGGCTGTGGGCAGACACTTCTCACTGTGGGATGCATTGCCTCTGTTCGGTGGAGTCCTTGCAGCTGTAGAATTGGTCAGAGAGGAGTTGTCCTTTCCCGCCTTTATATAACCTCTTACTTTTATTGAAGTTTATAATCAAGAAAGTTATAGAGAGTTTCAGGCTTTTCCATACTTGAATTTTCTGTATTGGTTCCCATTTCTGTTTGGAAGGTATTCTCCTTCTGGAAAATATCTTATGCAGAGCACTGTAAAATTATTTACAGAGGAGTTTTGCTCTTAAAATTAACCAGAATTGAGTAAGACTGAGGAAAAGGACATAATTACTCCCATAAGAGTAAATCTTACTTGAGGGGGTGTATGTGTGTGTGTGTAGCAATTGAGAATTACCATGAAGTTGTTACGTAAGATACTAATGAAGAGAATTAAATTGGCAGCCAGGAGACTGTTGGGCAGAGCTTTGGGTCATGGTTTCTGGTGCAGTGGCGTGTGTCCTGCTGGGTGGAGGGGGCTCCAGCTCCCAGCCGTCTGCTCCAACTCTGTCAACCTGCTCGGCCTCCTCCTGGCCAACACCAGCGCCTGGGGTCTGCGATGGTGCTTATCAATAGAGATGCCAAAGCTGTGACTGAAGTCGTAGCAGAGGGAAAAAGCCTGGAAGGAACTAGTTGTACAGAACAAAGAGAAAGATATTGGTGTCAGTTATGCTGGTTTTAGCGTTAGAAGTTGTTATTTAGCCAAAAAGATTATTTTCTGAAAGTACATAAAGCAGCATGTTTAAAGGAACATCTGTTTCATACTTGAGATGTGAGGAAGAGAGATTGACTTGTTCTGAAAACACATCAAAATTATATTTAAGTTCAGGTTGCCTGTCCCTTTAATCAGTAAATAATGAGGCAGTGCTTCTAACCTGCATGAGGCTCAGCCGAGGAAAAGAGGGATAAATTATTACAGCGGATCATGTACAGCAGCAAGTAGTGTTGTAACTCCTGATCAAAGCAGAAGCTGTGTTTGTCACTGGGAGCTTGGCAGAGGGGTTGTGTTGCGCTCTGAGCAACAAAATGCAGCGTCACATTTGAAGTGTGGTTGGTTTTTTTTCCCTTTGATTTCCTTACTGTCACATAAAAAGTTAGTAAACACGTAGTCAGTAGTGGGTGCACAGATATGAAAAGCACTTTGCTTACTGTCAGGTTTCATAATATTGTCTAACAGGGTTTTTTCCTAATGCTTTTTGTGCGTTTGCTTTATTTGAGAAAGGCGAGCAGCTTTTCTTTGCGCGCAGAGTAGACGTGTGGTCACTGCTTTGGTATTTGGATGAGACCCTATCTGCTTGGCTGCCTCCAGCTACAGCTTTGCCAATGTGGGGAGGCCTGACCCTGCATCCCTGTGCTGGTTTATAGCCCCTAGGTGCAGGCGGCAGCTGCGCAGGTTGGGCTTCTTCCACTTGTAACGGGTATTCCTACGGTCCTGGATCGAGCATCCTCTAGAAATCAGATCTGGGATGGAAGTCGAGAGGTCAGAATCCATGTCTAGTGCTGCTTTAGTCTGTGCTGAAGGGACAGCCCCTTGATTTTGACAATATTAATTAAAACCTGTCTGACATGATGGCTTTTTTTTTGGAGAATGTGTATGTTTTACATATGATTGCATTAAAGCCTTTACCAAGAAGGAGCTTCATAAAATAGAAAAATGCAGAGTTGTTGAATTTAACGCTTTGTGGGGGACGATCATGCAGTAGGTTATTCAATGCACTGCTTTTTACCTACAGGCATATTATTTGAGGAGAAGGTATAGTGCTGTTTAGGGGCTTGGTAGGCAAGTTGCTTCCTCTCAACTGACTTTTCCCTTTCCTTGCTAACAGAAAAGCTTGCAGAAGCTCAGCGCAGGTTTACTACTCTTCGGACTGAGTTACAGTCAACTTTGGATGCACAGAAAGAAGCCAGTGGGGCTTCCACGCTGCAGCGGCGCAGAAAGCCGGTCTTCCACCTGTCCCACGAAGAGCGTGTCCAGCATAGGAATATCAAAGATCTGAAATTGGCCTTCAGTGAGCTCTACCTCAGCCTCATCTTACTGCAGAACTATCAGGTACCTGCAAAAACAGGTGGTTTTACAAAGCCCTGTGTGTAAATGTCTCTGTGCTTTGCATATCCTTGAGTTGCCTCATTCAAGCCAGTTTTTTATATCTTCCTTTTTTATTTTGGGGTCCCTAAAGATTTTTAAAGAAAAGGCAGATGCCTAGCAGCTAGCAGCATATGTGTTACTGCTTTTTGTTGAGCTAGAAACACTAAGCTGACCTGCAGAAGGACCTTCCTTCTTCCTTTTCTGGGCTGGCTGACCACCCTTGGCCCAGACACGGTCAGGACACGAAGTCACTTCGGGGCCTCCTCCTTCTGTAGTGTGTTGTTCTGTGCAGGGCTGGAGCTGGCAAGTTGGGGAAGAAGCTCTTTTATCTAGTATTTGTAATGAAACTTGAAATACGAACGAACTGTTTCCTCTTGGCGTTACCATGGCAGTGACTGTGACATTGCTATATCAGAATTTCTTGTTAAAACATCCATTTAAAAGAAAAATGTTTTTAATTCTGTAGGATACAGGCTCGTTTGCCTTGAAGTATGAAAAAATAAATCTTTTGTTCTACTTGGATTTCTGTCATGAAAGGGCATGGTAAATATTGCAGACGCTGATTTTGTTCCAAAAAACTTGAAACAAAAATCTGAAACTGTTAAGGTGGTTGGTTTTTTGTTTTGTTTTGTTTTTGCTGGGCTAGTTCGTTTGGTGTTAAATACTCTGAAATGCTTTTAAATGTCTTACTGCAGGGGGGTTTATCTTGTTAAATAAGAATGTTTGAAATTAAATTTGTTAACTTTATTTATTTAGACCTTTACCAGCATTGTACTGGAGATTTTTACTAACAAAATTCACCATAAGAATTACTTGAATGCCATGCTGCAGTATGGTTAAAACTTAATTTTTCCAGAATTCTGTTTGTGTATCTCCTAAAATGATGTTATGTCCTTGAGCACATATGCTGCCAATGCTTAACTCACTCCAGATGCCTCAGCTGGAATTACCTTGCTTTAATACTGGGTTTCTAGGTAGCAAAATTTTGGTCCAACTTGTATTGGAAAAAGCATCAGACGACGTGGAAAAAGCTCTCAGGGACGTGTTCAGACCACCCCTTATGGACATTGTAACTCCTTACTTTCATTGGTTGAACTGACACCGCTTTGCGAGCCCTGAAGAAAATTTTGGTCCCAACTTGTATTGGAAAAAGCATCAGACTGCCGTCAAGGGAAGCTCTCGGGGACGTGTTCAGACCACCCCTTATGGACACTGTAACTCCTTACTTTCGTTGGTTGAACTGACACCGCTTTGCGAGCCCTGAACACAGGTTTTATAGTTGCAGAAACTATTTATGGCTTTCTCAATAAAGCCCTTTAACTACTAGAGAGGGTTTCTAGTTCAAAATCCTGGGAAAGGTAGAGTATCCTTTGTTTTTCAGGTATGGAGTGAAGCAGTATTACCTGCTGTGATTTGTTCACTCTTTTAAAAAAAGAAAGCTTTTACTGTTGGTTACAAAAATAACTTCTGAGGCTTGATGAAGAATTTAAACAGGGGATGACCTAGGTGATTCCTTTGAAAAATCTTTTCCTACTCTGCATCAGCAAAGAAAGGCATCTTCCACGCTTATATTTTTGCTTTTTGCTACCATGAATCCAGGTCCTTTGGATGTATACTACATACTGATGTAAAACCCATCTGGATTTGATAGCTTTGACAGTTTCCAAAAGGAGCAGAACTTCTTCCTACAACATAACTTTAAAGAGAGAATGAGAAAAAATTAGTTCAAACTGGTTTTGAAGTTGAGGATAAGGAATACAAGTACTAAACCAAACATAAACCCAAATCCCAGAGTACTACTCTTAATCACTTCTGAGCTAGGAGTATTTAAGGTCTTGCAGTTTTGGAGAGGGAGAACAGTAACCTGGTGGGAAGGTGACGTAGCTGAGGCCTTGGTGTAGGAGATAAAGTGAAGTCACCAGCAAATTCCTCAGTCTCTTCGGACTGAAGAAAGAGCAACAGTAGCACGCGTTCATTCCTAAGGTACACAAACCAAACATCAAGTGAAACTATAACTTGTCTCCAGGGCAGCTGTTACTTTTTTAACTTGCCAGTGATTAAACTTCTGGTAAAACTAACTTACTGTTAACAGTAACATATAATTCTAGAGTAGGTACATATACAAATAATTTATTTAATTGAAATGCTGTGGTTTAGAACAAACAAATCTTGAGAAATTAAGTATAAGGTATATCCTTACATATAATCGCTCATGGGGCAAATAACGGAGGCTGAAGCAGTCTTACTAAACTGCTGTGCGTTTTTGCCTTGCTGGTGCATTTCCCAATACGCTTGTGTACGAGCAAAGATTTTTGAGTCCACTGTTTGATCCTACTTGATCTTGCATAATATTATTGTGTAAGTTGCACTGTTTGGGTTTTTTCACCTTTAACGACAAAACGTGCCATTAGCTGATTCACTTCAATGGATTCGATTAGTATCCAGCAGAAATGGAAGTCAGGCTTGGAGAAACCCCTTGCTGAATAAAAACATCATGAATAGCAAGAAATAGAAAACTTCTGACTGCGTAAATGATGTTTGACTGTTTTGTTTCACGGTTTTGTCACCACGTGTTCCTTGTCAGGAGTACTGCTGTAACAAGCAGTGGCTTTATCACGCACTTTGGGGTTGCAGAATTTTTGCAGCCAGAGGATGGCACGGCACTGGAGAGAGGTTCTAGGGTCTCTGGTGTAACTGTGGTCAACCTGCCAAGGCACGCCAGAGTTGGGCTGTAATTGCGCATGTGGCAGATAAAGTGATGTTAGTTCAAGCTACAGAAAAATCTCTGGCCAAAATAATCATTTTGTTGCATCTCTTTAATTTCAAATTTCTGAAATAGTGATCTGCTCTCCCTGGGGTGGAATATGCTGGCTTTTCCAATAGAAAGTAATTAAAGTCTCTTGCCTGCAATAATGCAGATCGTTAATGCATTGGCTTCCTGCTCCTGTCTCCCTAGCCTCATTTCCCCACCTAAACGGTAGGGGTCTGGTATTAAATCACTCTAAGCATAATTAGATTGAAAATAATTTCAGTGAGTAGTTGGCGCCTCTCCCCAGGGCATTGGATTTTGCCGTTTTCTCTGGTTTTCTTTCTAAGCTACTTTCTAAGCTTTTTTAGAAGTGAATTTTGCCATGGTCTGCCTGCA